GGGTGTAAGTTCCGAACGACGTCGAACACGAACGACATGGATCGCGGACCCTTCAGGTACTCATCAGTGGGGGGGTCCAGTCGTCAAACTGGTTGCCGAACGACTGGTTGGTGGACTCGACTACTTTGACGCCTACTTGATGTACTTCGGCTTGGATTTCTTCGTCGTCGGCTGCAGCTTGGCGACGACTGGCACATTGACACGTCTCAGTTTTTTGCCGTTCACAAGGGGAGTAGGATCTTGCGCATAGCATGCCATGGCCTGGCGCTCACTGCTGAACACACTGCTTATGGTGGCCACGATGGGCCTGCCGCGTCTCGGTGGACGCGCCTTGCTGCATTCCAATTGTACGTGTGAAGGTCACGACAAGGATCCCTGTTGATGGAGCTGCTTGACCGAATGGCAACCCCGGCAGCTTGGCATAGCTCTTCATTTTGGGCATCGGAGTCACAATGGCGACGTGGGGCTGTCGCTTGCGGACTGGTGTTTCATGCGGCTTTGGAGTCGCCGGTGGTGCATCCACCGTCTTAGGGCCCTGCCTGCCTTCGCGTCTCGAGGTCCTGGCGCTCGCGGAGCTTGGCGACGTTTATTCGCTCTTTGGCCTCTTGTTCCCTTTGGACTTTGAGCTGCCGAAGCTTTTGCCGTCGCGCCTCGAGTGCTTGCTTCAGCTGTAGCAACACGTTCACTCGCAGGTCCAACATGCTCATGCACAACTTACAGTCCACGAGTGCATCGAGTGGCCAAGGCCAATTTCTGAAAATCAATAATACATTTGCACGGGCAAAATAATAATGCTCGGACTGACTGGACCTCTACAATTGCATTCAACTTGAAGTATTGAATTACACAAGAAATTAAATGCAAGAAGCCACGATGCTATTCGTCATTCTCACTCACACCCATGTCGTCGCAGTCGCTTGAAGCCGAAACGTCAACTTCATCAGAAGTTTCGCTATCGAAGTCTTGAAAACAACTTGCTTCCGCCAAAGTTTCTGCCTCTCGAAGAGCGATATCCAGCACAAGCAGTTTTGCCGTAGATGCTGCAATGGTGTTGTAAATCACCTCAGTGTCCAATTCATAAAACGCCCGATCAAGACGATCGCGAACCTCCGCAAACGTAGTGGTAGAAGTGTAAACACGACCAATTGTGCCCTTGACATTGGCCCACACCATCTGAATCGGTTGAAGGTCAGAAAACCTGGAGACGAGAACACCACATGATATCCACGAGTCCGTGCCATTTCGACAATGGCAGGTGGGATGTGCTCGTCGATATGCTTCTTCAAGGCTGCCCAGATCGTCGCCTTGAGATCAGTAGAAGACACACCAGGAACCTTGAACTTCACACAGGCTTGATAGAGATCGCCCTTCTTCCAGTTGCCCTTGGCAGTGTCAAACGGCCGCCCCTTGTGATATTTGGCGTTTTCCATGACAAAGACAGTCGATGCCCATCAGAGGTTCTCAATCCGAGGTTCTCAGCTTCATCGAGCAGCTTCTCAAACCAGTCGACAAAGTATGCATGGTTGAACATTGAATGGTAGTCTTTCACTGTCTTCCCGTTCGTCTTTCCACCAACAAAAATGTCCAGGCCAAGATATGTGACACATCCGATCCATCATCAATAATTCCAGCGATAAAGCAATATCGACGTCCTTAGTGTGTTGGTCTCGTTGTGCTGTGCTCGGAGTCGTACAGACTGTCCTCATGACGAGTGTAGTGATGATGAATGAAACTTTCGTCAAGGTACACCACGGGCCGTCGAGGACGCATTACCACTGTTGGCACCATCATGCTGACGTAAGCGTCCCGAGCCATCTCATGCGCCTTGGTCATCCTGAACTCAGTTCTCCCCGCGCACTTCCCACGAGCATACCCCCCATTCGACAAGAAGACTTGGACAGCACGAAGACAAGCGGAGTAGTCATTTGGCCGGGAGGCATCCACGAAGACGACGTTGTAGTCAATGAGGAGCGCCAAGACGTCCCGGGCGACAGTCCTGGTACGGGTGACGCAGCGGTCTCGAATAAACGCCATCACAAAGGTACGTCCCGAGTCTGACGTAGGGACGCGCGACGGATGATTCTTCGTGTTCGAAGGTGGATCGGCCTCAGACAAACTGCTCTTGCCGAGGAACTCGCAAAGGACTCCCTTAACGGTTTTGTTGGAGCGTCCAAGTAAGCGAGAGATGGTACCAGTAACGTCGCTTCTCCGTTCTTCACGGAGTGTGTCTTGAAGCCACAGTATGTCCATCTACTCATCAATAGTCAAGCTGCGCCTGCGGCGCAGCTTTACGAAGGCTTTAATGTGGGCTATTGTCACCGGGTCCATTGCAAAGGGTGCAATTTTGGCCATGATTGCCCTGAAAATGGTGGGAAACGATCGGGCCAATCAAGACCGTCATTTAGCCGCCAATTTGACGAAAACCAGGCAAGAAATGAGTGAGTTATGGCGAAAAAACCGAAATTATATGAAATTGACCACCAAGTATGTGAAAAAGGCACACTATAATATACAGGTTTTAGTGTGCTGAATATTTTTATTATTTTTCTCCTTCCCATTATATTGGTTTTGACAAGGATTTGTCTTTTATAGGCCTATTTTAGTTTAATTTGTAGAGTTTTTTCATTCTATTGCGCAGGACATTTCTTTACAGAGTCTTTTCGTGACGGAGTTTTTTTCTTCGAGTTCTGGTAAATCGAATGCATATAAAATTGTAAAAATCCACCAATCCTGTCACATCAAACCTCTGCTTGGCCCCTCGATGCCCTCGCGGACTGTTAAACAATTTGAGAGGGATACAGCGAGCGACGGAAAAAATATCCCCAGTGGTACGAGAGAAATATCTTGAAATTTGTATCACAAGGAGAGAGCACAGTATTGCCGTTTTTGGCGAAAACTGGACTTTTCATTTTATTGTTGTAAACAATGAGTACATCTCAAACTATTGACGTAGCCAATCACATCGCGTTGCATACTGCTCACGATGTCGGACGTTGCCGTCCCGAGGCTGAATCGCTGTTTGCCGTGACCATGCGTCAGAGAACACAAAGCTACATTGCCTTTACGGCTAATTTATGCTTGGTTTGTCCAAGATGTACTTGGCGACACTTTATGCCAAGCAAAAGTCAACAGTCGCTGCATGAAACAATCGGTTTGAGGCCACCGGTGCAGTCACATGTACCAACAATGGACGTTTTGTAAACGCGTTAATAACGCCTTGAGCCAAGTCACTAGGAATTTGTATGTGCAAAATGTTGCGTCAATTGTTCTGCGTCAGAAATATTTTCGTTGAAGTCCAGTTTTGAACAGTAGTCGACGGCACCGAGGGGACAAAAGAGCTTTTCTTTTGAGCCACATGACCATTTTTCCTAGCCCCGGGTTCGAGTCCCGGGCGCGTCGAACTTTTTTGAAAAATTAATTGTATAAAATTAACTCTGTAACGTCGGCTCTCAGTGATCGACAGAACTCTCAGTGATCAGCCGAGCTCTATCACCCAATATAATCGAAAGAATCTTGTGATTGGATAAAATTCGCTACTCCAACAACTAAACCCCTCATAATTTT